GTCCTTGTCGGGGTTTGAAACTAGTCGGAACGCCTCGTCCCCAACAGTTACGTCAGAAGGTCTAACAACATAATTAAAAACCTGTTAACTGAAAAAGAACCTTCAGAATAATACAATACGCCACAACTTGGACAAAAAATATTAATGTTTGCTCACAATACCGCGACAATAAACGACCGTTTACTAAACGCTCTATGAATACACGTGTTCGTAACTTCAAACGTACATTTCTTACTAAAGGTGTGAAATCCAACCAGTACACATAAATATATACATTTATGTATGTACAAACGACCACACATCAAGTTAAACAATACCAGTGTATACTGACCCTTGAGTGCATGGAGGGATTATACAAAACGAGATCATGATAAACAAGTTATGTTTTGCTGGAAGTGAGGGTTCGTACACAAAACTGCGATGCCACGTCGCATCGCAGAAATGTGCGAGCCCCCTCTATGCATCGCAAGAATTTGCGAATTGATTCGCATCGCCCATCAAAATCTTATCTTCCCAAAATCTTCTTTGTTGGTTTTTCTTGTATCTTCTAAGCAATAACAGAAGTGCAAACTTCTTTTCACGATCCATGTCACGATCTAGTTTTCAATTTAAAATACTTTTAGACCGTGTCGCACGAAATCGTATCGCAGCAATTCACATCGTAATTTTCTGCGTTGCTAATTCGCATCGCATCGCAGTTTTGTGTACGAGCCCTAAGCCGTGTACACAACTTCATTGCATCGTACAATGTAGAAGTGGACGTATACACTACAACATACAGCTGATAGTTTCCAATTTGCTTAAGTAAAGTATGGTTGTACGGGCGTTCGTGTTCGCTACTCGCTACAAATTGTACAATTGTCAATGGAAAATTCCGAACAAACGTAAACAAAACAATATTCTTTAGTACCTACGTATTATTCTCTGATTGATTTGCTCATGAACTTTTATGGTGTAATCGTTCAATTTCTCTCTATTAAACTGTTTGTTCTGTTGCGAATTTTCGAAAACACGTTGTGATCTATGTATTGAATGAAGAGGTCAATGATTTTGATCTGTTGTGTCATGTTTGGTTATTGACCTATTATTAGTGTGTGTCGCGTGCCCCAATTTGAGTGCAGATGCACTAAGTCGTTCTATCAGAATGTTTAAAAGCATTTAAATATTGATTAAAGATGTGTGAATAACACGTTTGTAGAAAACAGTCGTGTTTATTCCCACAAAAAAAAAACATTCAATCAGAGTCCATATTTAACAGACTTCTGTCTATTACTGTCAGTACTAACAAGGCTCATAATTGCATACAACCTAATGACTTAGCATTAGCTATACGTCTGTTTGCAATAGGTAGGTACTTGTTTACAATAGGGTAGATGCCTAATTTTTATTTTAATGTCTGTCTAGTAGATTATTTTAAATCATTAGACACGTATTTTTTATTTTCTTACATAAACGAATACTTTCGACGATATATTGATTTCAAATCTTACGTGACGTCACTTCTGTGTATATTTTATACGTAGAAATGACGTTTTAGCCCCCACTCCTAAACTTTGATTAGTTTTATCTAAGTATTGCTTTATTATACGACAAAATAAAAAAATACGTGACTAATATTTTTTCATTACCTAACTTACGGACTAACTATATTTTTAATATTCATACCCTGTCATCATCCCAATTATGTATGTTTATTTCATTTCTTAGGCCGTGGGATACGACTAGTAGTTTTATTGTTGTGCATTTTGTACCTATTCTCCTTAATCATTTTCCTTGCAGTTCCTACGTACTAATGGTTATTTTATATTTGAATTATGTTTGTAGCTATGTTTTGAGCGTTAAATGCCCCTTTGGTGTAAATGGTTGCTAACAGTGTGACATCTTAAATTGACTAAGATTGACGTCTTGTCTGGGTTCAATTTCGCAAATTTCACTGACAACACGGAGCCTGAAACGGGCGTATTAGGCTAGGTAGAACTAGGTCAACAGCAGACTTAGGTCTTAATTCCCTCGAGATGGTCGAAAAACGCGTTTTTGTGACGTAAATGGCCGTAAAGCTTTAAGGGGCCGTAGACTTGAGTACATATCTAGGTAATGTATGTGGTTTAAATTTACACTCGACCCTAGGCTTTCAAGGTGTAACACGTTTATAAGAGAAAGTGTTATTGTTAGCTCTTACGAAACTCACAGGACGAGTAAGAGTGGTGATACATGTACTCTATTCTTCGATCATCGGTTAAGAGGTTTTTAACTAGTAAAATGTATAGATTAAAATATTGACGAATTGACTGCTTCCTTGGCTGAGTGGTCGCAAGTGGGACTACCGGGCAAGAGGTCTCGGGTTCGATTCTCGGGTTGGGCAAAGTATTACTGGGTTTTAAAAATCTCAGTAGTAGCACGGAGTCTGGAATTTGGCCCGCTATATGGCAATAGGCTCACCCTCACCCCCTATTACATGGGAGTCGTAACATAAATAGTGAAAAGTGGGTGTTACAATACAGTGGCATTAAGTACCGTAATGTGCACTTCTGTTTACCCCTTCGGGGGATAAAAGGCATGATGTTATGTTATGAATATACTAACATGAAGAATATTAAGATTTTCATAATAGAACGTTACTGTGTAAAAGTTAGCCAGTATGAAATGAAAGTTCCACAGAAAATGGACACCTGCTTCCGACGGTTACAGTTTTTATCACAAAGGAGACAAATTTTTCTTCCATCATAAAAAACTACTTAAGCGAGTACTTTGAAAAATTGTATAAAGTATCTTACACAGTCAGTTATTTATATGAGTTTTGTAAAATAATTAGATACTCCTTAGTATTGACAAGTTTTTTTTTGGAGAGGGTATAAATCATCCAATGCTTCTCCCGCCTTTTTTTAAGGGGGAAAATCATCGAATGACTTCTTCCGCCTTGGGTTAGGCGAGAGGGAGTGTCAGACTCTTACTGACTAAAAACCACCCCGTTCCTACTCCTGCTCTTAGAGCTGGAGCCCCGGCAACCCGTTAGGCCTTCCACGGCTCCGTATCGGGCATCAGCCCTACTGGGCCCCATCCGTGGTGGTGTGGCTCTTTCAGGCGCGTGGAACGCTTGGAACACACATCCCAAAAGTTATTGTACGAATCGAATAGATAATCATTTTCTTGTAATACATTTGACTCCTCTGCTGTAGTAGGTATCCATGTGTGGTGCTGATCGCGTACTATCAGATGTTAAGCTATCCATATATTCATTTACTAGTTATTCCACAAAAAATCACCATTCCTAACTTCGTAATCAAATCGAATGCCTTTCAATCACTAGTCGTAACTATTTCACCAACAAGACAGTCAAATACATAACCAAACATAAAATATAATACATTCCTACTTACAAAATCTCTTAGCAGTAACGTTACGGGATAAAAGGAGAAACGTATTCAAATATCAAGCAACAAGGGCAGAAGGTACTCACTAATAAATAATTAATGTTTCAATCTCCACGGCATTCGGCACTGAGTGCTCGACAAAGTTTAGTATCCTGTACAGAGGTTATTGCTCTGTTTTAGGAGTTTAGGAGTTATCTATTACCTTTTCTTATGCTGTAATTAATTTTCCACCCGTGGCTTCGGCAGCATGGTAAAGGAAAAATAAGCCTATATCGCTCTCAGCCTTTTATCCTACCCGTGCGTGCGGGGCGTCGTCGCGTTCCGCGCGCGCCTCAAAGAGCCATCAGACCACTACAGATGGGGCCCGATACGGAGCCGCGGAAGGCCTAACGGGTTACCGGGGCTCCACCTCGAAGTGCGTGAGTAGGAACCGGGTGGTTTTTAGTCAGTAAGAGTCTGACACTCCCTCTCGCCTAATCCAAGGCGGGAGAAGTCATTGGATGATTTTCCTTTCTCAAAAAAAGCCTTTTATCCTAGCAACTTCTTGACTTGTAAATCATACGTTAACACGTTCTATTATCACGTTAAAAGATAAAGAAACAAACAAAACAAACATACGTTCGCATGTATAAAATTATGAGAACTCTGTATAGCACAACTGCATGACTAACGGAAGATTCTGTTAGCATATTGTGTTGATAAAATTGCCTACGATTAAATCCTCGTTCTTAAAGAAGTATTCAAAAGTTTGTTTAAGTATCTAGCCCGTAGCCGGCTAGTGCTGAGCAAGGCTCTCCCACGTCAAGGGGATTTGCCATAATCCCCAAGCGTGCTAGTCAACTTGGAGATCTGAAATAGAATTCAACGAATGTCAGTTACCTGAAGTAATAATAACTCTAAAGTTATGTGTCTAAATACTGAGCTAGATCCAAGACGCCATCGGTAGACTGCATCGCAATTTAATTAAAATACTTCCCGAAACTGAAATTAAAACACATTCATGAATACTCTAAAACAACTTAGCATTAAGCTGGATGTAGTTTGGTAAATTCATGGCATTATTATGCAGAATATGTATATTCCGTGAAGGTATACCTCCGACGAGAGGATTTGTTTATCCTCATAACAAACTGTTAGAGGGTTCCAGTAAATGATAGACTGTTGAATATATTAACTGGTGTTCTAATTGTGATTCGACTGACTCCAGTTGCCGAGCATATTTTTCATTTCCAAGTAGTGAAGACTAGGTATTACCGATTGATATTTCGGAAATTCCCAGTAATGGATAGAAGACTAGAATAGGTTAGATGCCTAATTTTTATTTTAATGTCCGTCTGGTAGATTATTTTAAATCATTAGACACGTATTTTTTATTGTCTTCCAGAAACTAATACTTTCGACGATATATTGATTTGAAATGTCGCACACGCTACTGGACAAAGGCCTCTTCTCACACGGAGAAGGACTTTTTAACGGAGTTGGAATGAAAACGAATTCGATCTATGCCCGTCAATTTCTTGTACATTTTCTATAGCTCTAATATTATAAAACCTTTTTAAACATACCATAGTGTTTTAAATTGGTTTTAATACTAATTGCGATTGACCACGCCTATTTTGATTGTTACAGTGATGAGCGGGGCCGGCACAGAATTACTGGTTCTAGGGTACGACGTAGCCCCCGGTCTGCTGTAAGTATAGTTTCAGATATTTACATTTACAACTGTGTCTTGTACAACAATCGCGACACCTTTGAATATTAATTTAATCTATATACGGATATTAATCAAGGGTTATTTATTTAAAATAAAAATAAAATGTTGAATATCGAGTAACCCAAAATAGCCGACATAAAGAAATGTCAATATTGTAGCATTTTGAGACCTATACCATCCGAAGAACCTTAATCACCATATCATTTTTATTGCGTGCCTGAACCAAAATTAGAAATTGAAATTAGAAGAAACTATTACATCACAGCTTCATCATCATTTACCAATATTTAGGAAGGTTCAATCCTCACGGACGAGTTATCTACATATTATAGAATGCCTTACTGAAAAAACTTTCGGCAAAGGCTGGAGATTGAATTTGAATCAGATAAGCTGTCGGTACATTCGTGCCCTAACGACGACGACACGGCGACGCGACGCCATTCTGTCATCGCCTTTGTGTTTATATTTTTGAAGGAAAAATCTGTCAGACGAAAGCTGTATTTGTTTTGTTGAAGACTTGAAGTTACATCAGTGTTTTCTTACACACATAAACTGAAGTCTTTCTTCTTTTATATGTATATGGTAATCACGATCCTCAGCAGTGAGGGAAACGACTGAGAAGACATAAAAGATAGGGATATGTAGAAACACAGAGCGCCACAACTCTTACATATTTTCTTAGTTTCCATCATATTCTTACACATGGTCATACATGGATTTAAGGTGTATCACTGCTTACACTGTCTAGTATTTCATTTCCAGGTAGGTAAGGTAAGGCTTTATCTAAGTCTTGTTAGGGGTTTAAGTGTCCTTAAAAGTTACAATCAATAAAATTTGAAATTAGATAAAATGGAGACGGCACGTGCAAGATCCTCCAATTACTATTCCCCATTATCTAATTAGAAGAGATTCAAAGAAACGAACAGTGAATTAAAATTGTTTCTTAAAATTTCCACAGAAACTATTTCCTTAATCCTATTACATTTGAATTCAATAACGACTGGAGTCCGCACTTCTGTTTTCCAAGCTAGTAACAAAATTTAAGACAAAGTTCGGACAATTTATGACTCTCTGCGTAAAATTGGAAGACTGTTATAAATATTTTTACAGCTTTCAATTTACAAAAAAGTTTAAATTTATCGACAAAAACAAAGGCTTTACGGAAATAATTTAACTAAGCTTTTTGTGTTTTATTTTTATTAAAATTAAACATTGTTACCTGTGCCCCCATGTGTGTTTTAAAAAACAAATCATAATTATGGCGTACCTCTATGTAAGGGATGGCGGGTCATTCCTTCGCAAATTGAAATTCCCGAAAGGGTTAAAATGTAACACTATTTTGCTCTCACAAAAAAACAAGAAGAGTAAAAGCCTAAAATATACACAGATTTACGTTAAAAAAACAGAATCAAAGGATAAAAATGTAGGCTAAGGTACTACTTTTTTCCTTAAAAAACCTTTTACTATATACTTGTTCAAAATATTGTATTTTCTAGAGGCCTTTAAGTTTAATAAGAGGGAAGACCTCTTAATGTTTTTTGATAAAAGTGGAAGAATAGTACTATAAATAGGTACCGTTGAACTGTCAAGGATACTCGGCGATGTACTAGATAGATAGTCGGTGATTAATAGAATGGATTTATGAAATAAAAGAATAGAGACGTGTGGAAAAATATGATAAAAGAACCACAAACGGATATGACAGCATTAGATTGATAAACGACAGTGATGAAACATGACAAAAATAACATTGACCTTCTGCTAAAATTAGAAACCATATCAATCTAGACTTATGTCAGTGCCAACGTCCATACCATGTTGAAAGCACCGGTTCTCGTCCGATCACCGAAGTTAAGCAACGTCGGGCGCGGTTAGTACTTGGATGGGTGACCGCCTGGGAATACCGCGTGACGTTAGCCTTTTTTTTGTCGCGGAGAACCTAACGGGTAACCGGGGCTCCGGCTCGACGTGCAGGAGAAGGAACGGGGTGGTTTTTAGTCAGTAAGAGTCTGACACTCCCTTCCGCCTCACCCAGGCGGGAGCAGTCATTCGATGATTTTCCCCCTTAAAAAAAAAAAAAAAAAGACTTATGTCAGTGCAACATGCTGTGCAGATAGAATTTTTTTTTAACAAAATTGTGCTAAGATAATAATATGGAATGCATATTTAGGTGCTATAATAATTACGAAACTTACCAGCAGTTATAAAAACTTATCTAAAAACTAAAAAAACACATAACGAAAGACTAATACACGTGTTCATTAACATTTTTTATACCTTCCTTCAGAATCTAGAACTTTGTTTTACAACCCAGTGAGCAATCGAACTTTCTGAACCTTTAGGATTTTCTTATTAAAAACTTTTTAATCTAAAAAAATGTAACCTGGCCAAGTCAGTTTAGGAAATAGAAAGGGCAGGAACTAGGAAATAAATTATCCAATAATGTTCATCTTATACTATTATATAAAGCGGAAGAGTTTGTTTTTTTGTTTGTTTGTTTGAACGCGCTAATATCCGTAACTACAAGTCTGATTTGAATAATTATTTTTGTGTTGGATAGATTTATCGAGGATGACTATAGGCTATTAAACATCACGCTACGACCAATAGAAGCTGAGCAGAGCTGAAACCGCGCGGAAGTAGCTAGTTAGTTATAAAAAATTCAGGAATATTTTTGTGAAGGATATGAACTATCCAGATATTCTTCGTTATTTAAAAGCATGAGTAACTTGGAGCGTATATTCTGGTGATGCATGTGTACCAATCTATTCCCAGTTTACATCGTATGAATCTAAATGGTCGTAAATGTCACTCCTGCTCGGATAGTTTCGGGCACTAATAACCGAAACTTGTAATTAGGGATCCGGTTTAGGGAGATCCATAAACTTTTTCATCGGATGAAAGTTAGTGGTTGGTCTTAGAAGAAATCTTAGTGTCGAATTAATTAGTTGTGATGTTGTTAATCTGTTTTTATACGATATCGGTTTTTGTAATACTTTATCAGTTCAACAATATATTTATTGTTTTCAGAAATCAAATAATTTCGTTACTTATGAGCATTCTACGTGATTTGTGCATTATTCTGCATACACACATAATAATACCTGCAAATACTTGATTATACCTTTGCTATATCTATCTATATAAATAAAAATGAATTCCCGTTCGTTAGTCTCGCTAAAACTCGAGAACGGCTGAACCGATTTGGCTAATTTCGGTTCTGAAATGTTCGTGGATGTCCAGGGAAGGCTTAAAAGGGGGAGAAAAAAATTTTGGCGGTACGAAGTTTGCCGGGTCATAGTTTTACATAAAACATCCCATTTTCGCTAGTCATTTAATATTAATAACATCTAACAAACCTTGAACGACAATTGGCATATCAACATATAAATTGAACGAATTCCTCCAATAAGCTATAGTTTAGTCGTTGACAAATAATTAAATAGATTGGAGATCTAAAATACTTTTGTCTACAGCGTGGGTGCAGCTCTAGTCCTGATCCTGGAGACGATGTGGGTGGCAGCATTGTTCGTGGACCTGCTCTGCAGACGAGGAGAGTACACCCTTTCATTGCGGTGCTGGGATTTCATGCGGTGGTCCTGTGGCCGCGCCCGCGCTGCCATGTACGCTTGTGGCGCCACCGCACTGCTGTTTGCTCATCTCACACTGTTCGCTACTATTTCAGGTTAGTGGTTTTTTTTTGTATTTGATTGTCAATTTATACAGACTTCTATTATAGTGCGTAGTTTTATTTAGATTAAATAGCTCATTATTCTTTAATAACTAAGTTCAAAAAACTTCAGAGTGATGCAGACAGTTATTATTATTATTTATTTATTTTTAAATCACACAGGTAAGTATGGTATAATTTAAGCTCCACAAAACCGTTGCAATGGTTTGACTGTGGGGTCGAGTCACTAGGCTTTACAATAAAATGTACTTATAAAGGCATTGAAACTTATATGTATATGTAGAATTGTAGACATTTCTAGGTAATACGACTATAATTTACGTTTAAACCTATTTGAATTTGTTTCACTGCTATAGTCTGCCGGCAGACTATTCAGTTAGTAACACTACGTTCTAGCTTTCGTAGAAGTAACGTTACAATATGTTTTTTTTTGTCAGTAAAACTAATAGTTGAAGTAGAACATAGGCATAGATTTTACCAGTTTACACTCTCTTCTCAACACCATTCTCATAACTTTCATTTTTGCATTTAATAAATGATTCATCCACATACTTCCCCGTCCCATCTCCACTCAAGAACACAAACTTCTGTACATTTCAAAACTTCTTTTAGCTTTGTCAGTTGCCGCCGCGACCCGAATTTTGTTTGTGCAATCCAAGAGTTGTTTACGCGCCATGTTTTTCTGCTAAAACGTAACTACTAAGTATTACGAGTAAATGGGAGTAGAGGAAAGCAATTCCACTGCCATTACTCTTTGTTCCCTCATTGCTTCACTAAGTGTGTTCGAACTTGGGCCTTGAAATTGGGTGAGTAAGATCAGTTTTCCTGGTCGAAATTGGGCAGTTTTACCAAGTGTGACGAATTGGCTGGCCTATGTTCAAAACACATGTTAGAATATATGTAATCTTTATCTCTATATGATTTACTACAATGTTTTTTCCATGGTCTATTTTAATCATGTTTAGGTTCCCTCGTACATCTCCGGTCCAGTTTAAGGAGTATACCACACTTAAAAAATAACTGGCCAAATTATGAATGAATACAATAGGGCCGTTTCCTAAATTTTATTTTAATGTCCGTCTGGTAGATTATTATTTTAAAACATTAGAGACGTATTTTTTCTTTTCACATAAAATTAAATGCTTTCGACGATATATTGATTTGAAATGTCGTGTGACGTCACAGCGTGCTACAAAATGTACCACGTTGTGACGTCACTACCTCCCACTCCTAAACTTAACTCCATTTTACTTAAGTATTGTAACTTTATAGGAGAAAATAAAAAAATACGTGTCTAATATTTTTTCATTATCTAACTGACGGATTAATTAGAATTTTAATTTTCTTACCTTGACAACTACCCTATTGTACATAATACATATGATTGAAAGACTTGATGCGATACATGATGTTTGTCTAAAGGTACTTTAAAGTTCGAAGCGTGAGTGAGTCTTTAACGAATTACATTCTGAGGTAATAAATCTTGTGGCACCCAACGTGGGACTTCGAAATCTGCTGTGAACCCTTACATGATAGGCCATGTGTCTTTCCTGAGTGAAGGTACGAACGAGATGCGACTTTGATATCTGGGTCGACCAGAATTGGAATTGTGATTTTTGGTTGAGAAATTCTAAGATTTTAAAAACTGAGAGAAAAGATTTTAAAAATAGGAAGGACCTTTAAAAATTAACCTGCGTAACGATACCTACGTTAATATTTTGACCTATAACTAGACAGTATTGTATTTTTAAACTTATAACAATTTAATAATATATTCTCTTTCTTATAAGGCCTAAGGATGGTACACACGGCTACACATCGAGCTTGATATAACCAGTATAAACTGAACGTTAAATGTGCGGAAAGATGATGGACGCGACACCAGGATAAACTGGTTTTGTATAGATTAACGTGTGGCCGTGTGTACCTACGTAATACCTACGCCTACGTACTACACCCTTGGAACGAAGACCTTTCGGTTTTTATGATCCTATTATTAGAAGCAGGTTCAGACTCGCACTCTGGATTAATTATTAATGTTAATTAATCATTTACTCATTAATTGAATACGCGGGAATATTTTAAGTAGAATGGATTTTGTTAGGAATTAGGAATTATTATGATAAGTTAGGTAATGGTAGGTAAAGAAAAGTAGAGTAGAGAGAGGATGAATGGATAAAAACTTTCAGTTATTTTTCTTTTGTACTCATAAGACACAGTGTAAACATTGTGTCTTATGTATATCTTTATTTTCCTGTCGCAGGTCTGCTGGAAGAAATCCCTTAAGGGATTTGCAGTACCTATGTACCCCATGCTTATAATGTGTTTTCCTCTGTAATATTGTCTTCTGTACAGATTACATCAAGTGATAAATAAATAAATTGATCTAGTTTTGATAATATTTTGGACAATGATTTCTCCAATAGCGCCACTGGGCTTGTTTTTTGGGTATCATACATTTTCAGTTTTTATTAGTGTACTAAACCTACCTATCATAAGTAAAAATAAACACATTATCACCTCAAGTACAGCCAATGGAAAACTACAATGGGTAAGATTTCACTAATCCTTTGTTTTTTTTGTCATCAGGCGGCATGCTCCTAGTCCTAGCAGCGCTGAGAGCAGCAGTGCCATTCTCCCCGTACGCGACACATGGACCTCACTCCCCGAGGGCTGGCAGCTCACTACTGAGCCAGCATGACTCGCCGCTACCTGACGTGTTTTACAACGCGGCACATACTGAAGAAGACAGGTGAGGACCTTCTTTAGGGTTATTAAGTCCTGGTACCTTTCTTAAGTTGTTTAAGAATGCGTCAGAACGTGGTGTAAAATGAATTTGGTTAAGTCATTGAGTTAATTTTACTTTTTTTCGACACAAAAATTTTGATCAGTGGACCTTTTCTCGAGACGTCGAAATTAAAAAATCCTTCAAGTTGGATTACTTAGATTATCGAATATTGTAGCAAGCGGGGCAAGGTAAGAATGTAAGTGTTTGTAGATGATATATCAAAATGCATATTTAAAGACACGATTTCTATGTACAGTCGTTGCAATAGTAAAAAACCTGACAGTCGGACAACAGGTTTAAACAAGGATGTCATCATGTTCCAAATGGACTGTAGAGGCTCGATTGAAGTCGCTCCATGTAAAATTCAGTTAAATCCTTTTAGACTTCGGACCGATCCTTGAATTGAACATGTTTGGGAAGACGCAAAGGGAAGGAAATGGAATATTTGAGAGTACCATAAAGCACATCGTGTTAAGGTTGTGTCTTAAACTGTCAAACACCGCGCGGTCACCGGTGACCGCAACCTATTGTTCTTTAATTGTGTCTATAATGACGGTACTCGACGAGTTAAACATGATGATAGTTAATTTTGACCATGGAAAATCTAATACTTATAAGGGACAAAAAGTCTTCGTAACGCACTTGTACGTCCTCAGGTGTTGTGGGTGTCCGCCAATCGTGTTGGGCCTTTTGCGGAACGGTACTGTAGCGCTTGTCTACAGAGAGAGTAGAAATCAAAATGTATGAGGATGACACTGACAAGTGTCAAAATTTACGTCAATTCCATATAATTTGGTTTTCTCTTCTACACGTAGACAAGCGCCAAATGGCATTTGGCTACAGCTACTGCTATATTAGTATCCCATCCATCTGCTTGTTTGTACCCTTTGCTCATCCCATTATAGAAAAGGAAAAAATGTATCGTATTAAAGGATAAATTTAATCTATACTTCAATAGAAGGCATAATTCTATTCGTGCGCAGTTTATAAATTGACTTGCATTTATTTGTAACTAGAAAAACGAGTTATTCTGATTAGATAACAATAAAGTGTTTTAACCCTTTGTCGACTCCATTTAATGTAATATGCTAACATACACACATATGCGGTTTCCTACCAGTTTTATGATAGAGCAATTGACACTAAGTGCTAACTATTAGCATTATGCTAAGTGTCTAAGTTACATGTGTATTGTGTAGCACTTTGACTTATTTTATGATGTCTTGTAGAATTTATATTTGCTCTACTGATGACGTCTATTTTAAAAATGACTAAATACTATTTTGACTGCACGGTTGGTGCGGTGGCTGGGCAACCGGCTGCCGTGCAACGTGTCGCGGGTTCGATTCCCGCACGGGACAACACTTTGTGTGATCCACAAATTGTTGTTTCGGGTCTGGGTGTCATTGTGTATGTGAACTTGTATATTTGTAAACGCACTCACGACACAGGAGAAAATCCTAGTGTGGGGCAACGTTAAAAAAAAATAAAACTGCTACTGATAGGTTTATGAAAATTACGCTTTAACAAATTAAATACAGGGTTGCCCTTAAAAAAATATGGCAATATATTTATCTGCGAAGATTTTTGCATAGCTATAATTTTTGGTGTCTAAATTCTAGTTCTTTGTTACAGATCAGAAGAGATGACAGTTCTGGATATGAGGACCACGGACAGATCGCGGTCAACGACCCCGAAACCACCACTACTGAACTTTGATTCGTGAAATCGCGACTAGACTACATTAGATAATAAATATCGCCTATGCCAACACCGTTATACTATACTTATGAACAACTTGACACTGTCATCCTAAAGAAAAAAAGCTTTCTATTTTCAAATGTACCTATTTATGAATTAAAAATAATAAGGTGCATTAGGGTTGGATTTATTATGTGCTTGTATTTAAGAAAAGACAAAAGTTTTTTTTTATCTTATATTTATTAAAAAAAATATCGGTAATTAGTTCCAAGTTGTTCTACAGTGGTCAAGTTTAAGTAGGTGTTTAAATTAGTACTACAACTAATTAATTTATTACTTTTATAATTTTTATACGTACGAAGAAACTGTGATAGTTTAGATTGTAGTTATGTGCGACAAAGTTCAGAGTTAAAAGATATTCTAATTAAATTATTTAAAAAACAAATATTGTCTATTATTTCCTTAAACATTTTACTGCTGTTTTTGACTGAGAACTGCGTAATAAGAATAAGCTGCCTTCATGATCTGAAACAAACAAAGTTCTCTTGTAATTATTAATTTTCATATTATTTATTCAGTCGGGTTTACAGCGTCTCAATACAACTTCAATTTTCTTCAGTAATTTTCGCAACACAACGTAAGATGGATTTGAAGTTCATAATTTTGAAATTGGAAAGCCTTAATTTTTATTAAAACAAGCAGCTTATTAAACATGGCGGCTAGTGTGACAAATATGGCTGAAAAAATTATGATTGTTATTATTCGAATGTAATTTTTACCGTTCAATTAATTATGTAAAAATTTTAGTTCCTATGATTATAAACATTTCGAATAAGAAGACTCATACAAAAACCCTATTGGATATTGGACTTAAAGACATTGGTAGAAAGTACTTATTATGTTCAATTTTGTCCACTCCCTCGGGATAATATTACAGGTGACTAAAGACTTAAAATACACTTTTTTATGGCATAAGCCGGTAAACGAGCAGACGGATCACCTGATGATAAGCAATCGGCGTCGCCCATGGACACCTGGAACACCAGAGGCGTTACAAGCGCGTTACCGGCCATTTGAGAATTAGGAGTTTGAGGGGATTGATTGGGGAATGGGAGGGTAATTGGGTTTTCGGTAACCTCACTCACACGACGAAACACAACACAAGCGTTGCTTCACGTCGGTTTTCTGTGAGGCCGTGGTATCACTCCGGTCGAGCCGGCCTATTCGTGGCGAAGCATGGTTCTCCCATACTTGAAACATTGAGTTTTTACATTCTCTAATTTTCGTTTTCTTTTATATTTCAAGACTCTATTTACACCACTTCGCAAACGTAACCACATCTAAAGATAGATCTATTGAATCTAATGAGACGAAGTATTGCACGAAGCGATACGAATCGAGTCAATTGATAGTTGGGCCCAACCTGTAATGAATGCAATTGAACGCCAGTGGGAGCGCACTAATTCAAAACTTTCAATGCGTTAAATTAAAATCTGCTACAAATTTTAGGTTTAAGGAATATTGGTTTATATTTCGGTTCGGAATGTTAAAGCTCAAAGTTGGGTGCTTACTTTTAGATAGTAGACACAAAAAATAAAATATTTTGGAAGACTAGCGAGTTCTTTTTTATTGGGTAAGTCGGTAAACGAGTAAATGAATCACCTGATGGTAAGCAATCGCCGCTGCCTATGGACACCCGAAACACCAGAAGCGTTACAAGTGGGTTACCGGTATTTTAAGAATTGGGAATTTTAGAATTGTGGGGCATTCGGGAATTGGAGAGACTAGGGACTGGGTAATTGGGTCTCCGGTAACCTCACTAACACGAATAAAAACAACGCAAACGTCGGTTATCACGTCGGTTTTCTGTGAGGCTGTGGTGTCACTCCGGTCGAGCCGGCCCATTCGTGCCGAAGCATGGCTCTCCTACACTTAAAAGTTAAGTTATGTATATGATGACATCTGGAAGCATGACTATTGGTACAAAACAGGTGTAATTTCAGGTTAATACTCCCATTGAGAGTTTTGATAACTAAAAACCGGATCAGACAATCAAAACCTTGAGTCATATTAGCATCGTTGTTAACCACTGATCTAACGAAGAACGAAGCAGTCAACTAAAAATAATTGTTTATTATTTATTGAATGAGCACCTATAATATAATCGTTTGACTTTTAAGCTAGTAAAGGTTTTAGGAGTTCTTTACTTAACAAATTATTGAGCTTTTTTCAAATAATTCTGTTTACAATCTCTCTTTAAGAATGACTGTTTTCATACTTTAACTTGGTACCTATATTACTTTTTTTATCTTGCTTGAAGTAAGTACCTATTGTTCAAGAGTTATCAAAGCGTATCCTGCAAGGCGTAAGAGGTACACGTGCCGTGCTTTCCACTCCACTGCTTTAATCACACAGAATTATTTCGCACAAGGAAAGAAAATATATTCAGGATAAAAATCTCGAAGACAGGAAGGGTAGGCGTTAACTACAAATAATGATTTCTAATTAGATTAATTATGCTATGACTGATTTCTAATTATGCCATTTATTCCCGAAAGGGTAGGCAGAGGTGCACATAACGGCACTTAATGCCACTGTACAATGTAACACCCACTTTTCACTATTTATGTTATGAGTCCCATATAGGTAATAGGGGGTGAGTCTATTGACATATACCGGGCACATTTAGCAGACTCCGTGCTACTACTAAGACTTAAAAAAAAACAGTAATACTTTGCCTGACCCCGGGTCGAAATCGAATCCGAGACCCCTTACCCAGCAATCGCACTTGCAACCATTCAGCCAATGAGGCAGTCATTTCTAATTAGATATTCCCAAAAAACGCTTTTCTTCCCATTAGGAAGTTCGAAATTCGGCTAATTTGGTTTGGGCGTGAAAATGTACCTCACATAGTTAACGTATTTTCGGACTGTATAGTATTTCACACTTTTCATAGCACCAGATTAATCTCTTAGATAATGGATTCCCTATTTCTCTTCCCAGATAACTAACTACTAACTCACGTAAATTAGTAGGCATATTAGTAGGCATCACAATATGAAAGCTGTAGAAAATTAAGTGGATTTGTACCGAAAATATGGTAAAAGCTTAACAGGCTTACATTGAACCTCAAAATTAGCAAAACTTCATATATTTCCTCGAGGAAAATGAACGAGAAACTTCTTAATACTCACAGCTAGAAAACATGCGTTATCCATATGTGTGAACCCGGCTGCGGTCAGGCGTAATGGACGCTGAGCCCTCATCATCATTATGAGCAAAAGTCGACGTTGAGACGGCGGAATACGTTCCCATTTGCTTTGCATTATCGCGTCCGATATACGTTCTGCCTGTAAATGATGAAGGTAATAAAAACGTTATGTTTAAAAAATAGGTGAATATTCCATTTGACGAATGCTTAGTCTACTATTTTACCCATTGATTTTATGAATCTGTAAAGCGAGTCGAGCTAACGTCAGGGACAATTCCAGAGCTCGTACTATTATTGAATATTGCAACTTCTAGGTGGAACCAAAAACTTGTAATTGTCACCACCCGATGAACAACCCTAATTTCTGAGTTTTGTTTTAGAATAGACGAATTAATCAGTTCCTCAATAGTTCTTGTACTGATATAGCTATCTGGGCCATACTATAACTAACAGTAGTCAGTTTCAGTAATCCATCACTGGTTACACCGAAATTATTAAAAGAACAGACTTTGTTATAATTTTAATTACATAACATAACATAACGTCACGCCTTTTATCCCCGAATGGGTAGGCAGAGGTTCACATTTTGCCACTGTACAATGTGACACCCACTTTTCACTAATTATGTTTTGAGTCCCATGTACTAGGGGGTGCGCCTATTGCCATATACCGGGCACAATTCCAGACTCCGTGCTGCTACTGAAAATTTTTAAAAACCCAGTAATACTTGCTCGACCCGGGCATCGAACTGTATACCCCTTGCCCGGCAGTCGCACTTGTGACCACTCGGCCAACAAGGCAATCATCATACATATTACCCATACGCCATAACTCAACTTACTTGAAGTGTCAATTCATTTCCAGTGAGACACTGCATGCCAAGTTGTAATATCATGGCGACGAAGAATGCCACTGATGTGATCAGTCTCACCGACTTGAAGCTGGAAGCGTCTTGCTGTAACAAGTCATTCATCAATCAATCTTGTACCGTAACCCACGCCGTTGTTTCTCAAAATATATTTAGAGAATGTTAGTGTAGGTTAAGTAGGTATTAAACTATGAATTGAGATGATGACAGGGTATGAAAATTAAAAATCTAATTAGTCCGTAAGTTAGGTAATGAAAAAATATTAGACACGTATTTTTTTATTTTGTCGTATAATAAAACAATACTTAGATAAGAAGTTTAGGAATGGGGGCTTAAACGTCATTTCTACGTATAAAATGTACATAGAAGTGACGTCACGCGACATTTCAAATCAATATATCCTCGAAAGTATTCGTTTCTGTAAGAAAATAAAAAATACGTGTCTAATGATTTAAAATAATCTACCAGACGGACATTAAAATAAATATTACGCATCTACCCTATTGAATAGACAAATGTATGACAATAATGTTTTCAGAAGATATAATATATCTATTACTAATATGGGTACTAAACTAAGAACATTTCAATGTTAGAAGTAAGAAAGAGTCTATGTGCCAAATTTATGTGAGTACAATTGCTGACTTTGTGCTAGTGAAAAAATTGTGTTCGCAATTCTAACTATCCATCAAACGCAAATCCGCTATTCATAGTTTGTTTATTTTCTTCTACACAAAGAGTTAAAGGAGGATAAAGTCACTGATTAAAGAACCATGTTCAACATCCCCCAACTCGTCACACAGCTGATTATCATCATTAGCCAACTGAAAGGTGTCTCTTGACACGTTTTTCACCTACACAAAGGGACACCTATACAAAAGACGTGTAAGTAATTAATTTTAGGCAAACATCTTCAGGAAAGAAAGTTTATTTGAAGCCTAACAAGAGGCTCGTTATTTTTGGCACGATGCCAGGGGAAAGACATCAAACTGTCATTTGTAGGACACCACTCACGTTCATGCAAGTCTCAGATTACTTCGGTTCTTGAGTTCCTCGTATTATTTTCCAAACTTCGCCATTATGTCACAAGTTTTGAGTACTTGTATGTAGGATTTAAAACTTGCATTGTTCTATCAGCTCTTGCATGTAAAGTGATCAGTTCTGATGTTCGGGATTCTTTGAGGAAAATTTAAATCTGTATATGAATTACGGCTTTTATACATACCAGTAGCCGTATGTAGGTACATTTGCGAAGCTTATTAATTAATTATGAACTGCCTGTCTGTGGCAGCTGTTTCCTAAATTATGTAAAAACATGTAGATATCTTCGTTGTGAGTATTTTTAGATTTCTGTCGATAAATTTAACCACTCCAATTAAAATATCGAATGGTTGGAACTTTGGAACGGTTCTTCTTGTTATCGTTTTCGAGTTGGGCAGTGTTGAAGATTTTAATTTTCTTTATGTAGCTTAATATTTATATGACTAAATCTGGGTATGGTAAACAAGACTACATAATTACAATCACAAAACTAGTACATAGTACTTCTATCCACTCCTTTCTCGGAAAACAATGGTGATGACAAAGTTTCATAAAGTCTATCTAAAGCCTTAAAGTTTATTGTTAGACTGTGTTTGTTGTTACGACACAATACATAAAGATAAAGGATCTTTGTAGTACAATTTGAAGCTCTTGAACTGGTGCCCGTGAATTTTGGCGAGCGCTCGAGTGGTCACCACTTCACTCCTAAGCACGAAGCCTGGCTCAAACAGAATTTGTCATATTTTGATACCAGACACAGATACGCAGACTACGCATGTGTGAGCACGCCTGTCTTGTCATGGAAATAAATTCTAATACGCACAAAAAATTACAACATCTTATGCAAAAATATGGAGATGTAATAAAGTCGTATCTATGAATCTTACCGAAACTTGAACCATTACTACGCAAATGGCCGCCATACTCGAGAGCAGTTGAGTCATGAAGCCGTAAGAATAAGTTCTAGAGAATTTCTCCACGCAACTGAAAATAAAGTTAAAAAAATGGAATACTCATAACAGTAGTATGCGCTGTGAAAACTTTATTCTAATATCAGCGAGGGAGGTGAATATAAAGCACAGATTATGTTGATCTAGGTGTAGAAAAAAGACAAACCAACTGACAATATTGAGGGTGTAATCCTGAGATATTGCAGCACGTCATATCCACGAGAACGCGGTCCCCTTATTGCCTTCGTATCGACTGTGAATTGACATTTTTTACGCAGCGGGATACCCATCATTTTTCAGACCTGTCCCTTATTGACCCCGCAAATATCTGTATTTGTAGTAAGCGGCACGTTTCCAATAAGTACGGATTGCGATGTTCATATTGTATTCGATTGAAAATAGCGAGATAGTGTGGACTTGATATTTTAATATTAGGTCAATGCGTTTGCATACAGGGTGTATTTTATGGTAGTTCTTGTTTGTTTGTTTATTTACCTAGAAGTCGGAGAACTTTAGTGTTTATAGCCTTATTACTTCGAAGTTAAATCATTGATACTTCGAAGGGATAATGTCAGAAGGGATAATGTAAGAAGGGATAATGATAATATACTTCGAATTCATACACCCACTTTCACCACTTATGTTATTGAAATAACATAAACATTTTATGATAATAGAGGACAATTTGTGGGCTAATTTGTTGAACTACAGACAAGTTTGGCTCAGGCTGCCGCCGGGGAACCTTCCAGTTAATTCACATTGCACTTTATGGCAGTTTAGTTACGGCCGGTCCAAGTCTGTTTGCTGCCAAAAACTTTATTGTACTTAGTCTGGGATACCAAACGCGTTTCGTAATAGTAATGGATGTAAAGCTGAGTTTGTGTTATGTGTAGTACATATGAAGAGATTGAGATGAATGTTTTTGGTTTATTTCTTTTGTTTAAAAACTTTGCCCCACACTAGGATTTTCTCCTGTGTTTTGGGTATACATGACATCCAGACCTTTAACAACTATTTGTGGATAGTGACAAAGAGTTGCTCCATGCGGGAATCGAACCCGCGACACGTTCATGGCAGCTAGTTGCCCAGTCACAGCACTAACCGTGTTGGAATATTATAAAGACGTATTGAATAACTTTATTACATTTATACAGTCAGACGTGGGAGATGGGACGTGGGGAGCACACTATATATTATTTAATATAACTAAATATGGGAAGTTCTCCTTTGCATGTAGTATCTACTCTTGTATTTACACATTATGTTGATTTTGTAGTGGGACGTGATAAAATACCATTTAATTTACAAATCATATTGAAGGTAAAGCCAAATGAAATTGAAGTACTTACTTATCTACTAATTTGAGGTACTTATCTACTTAAAAGATTATGAATTTTAGAACTGAACCGTTAGTACTTATAATTATTAATTTTCTAGAAATTATTTTATGAGATGTTTCCATAATTTTTATTTAGGCAAGAAACAATATACCTTTAATTATGTTGCTTAAACCGTCAAAATTTTCGATTTTTTTTAACAAATCCCTAATTTCAAGATTTAATTACCATTGTTTTATACTAGGTGGCAAGTGCGATTGCCGGGCAAGGGGTCTCGAGTTCGATTCCCGGGTAGGGTAAAGTATTGTTGGGTTTTTAAAAAATCTCAGTAGTAGCCAGGATTCTGGGTATGTGCCCGGTATATGGCAATGGGCTCACCCCTATTACATGGGAGTCATAACATAAATAGTGAAAAGTGGGTGTTACATTGTACAGTGGCATTAAGTGCAATAATGTGCACTTCTGCCTACCCCTTCGGGAATAAAAGTCGTGATTTTATGTGTTATACACGTTTTATACAATATACAGTTGTTATATCAATATGTTCAACATGTACTTAATCTTCTAAACTGAAAAGCTGAACAGACAGATTGTACAATCTGACTTGAATACTAAGTACTGACATTACCTAGGTTAACACACCATAATGTATGTCAGTTGTCACATGTTTCTTGAATGTGAATTATGAATGTTACAACTTATATCTTTATTTACATTCGACCCATCTTTTATTTCCATAATATATTGTTATTTAATTATAATATAGGTAGATAATAGAATAAATATAGTTAAGTAGCTACTGCCTCGTTGGCCGAGTGGTCGTAGGTGCGACTGCCGGGCAGGGCGGTCTCGGGTTCGATTCCCGGGTCGGGCAAAGTATCACTGGGTTTTAAAAAAAATCTCAGTAGTAGCACGGAGTCTGGAATTGTGCCTGGTACATGGCAATAGGCTCACCCCCTATTACATGGGATGATGGGACTCATAACAATAACATAAATAGTGAAAAATAGGTTTTACATTTTACAGAGGTATTAAGTGTCGTAATGTGCACCTCGGCCTACCCCTTCGGGGATAGAATGGTGTGATGTTATGAAGAATGTTATGAATATATTAAGTTACATTTATTCGAAGATACACAAATATTCTCCATATTTTGTGTTTGTAACTATGTTTTAGGCGGCGGTTTTAGTTATTAGCTTTTTTCATTATCCCAGTTTATATCGAAATTGGTTATTGATATAGTTAATACCAAGTAATTATGTTGCTGGTTTCCAATCATAGATTTTAAGAGAAATTAAGAACATGAAAATAAACAGACGCCTCGCCTCTTTGAATATAAGATATATAGGGATTAAAAATTATGTGGCGTAGTTTCCATTAATATTTATTTTTATTATTAGATTTGGATAGTAAAAAAATAGGGAATCAACTTATTTTTAAATGTTCAATACATTACAAGAATAATATTTCCGATCCTTAAAAGTAAGTAGGTATGGCTTCCCATGGCTTATCTCGGCAACCAATCACGGATTAAATAAAATTTATTTCTCCATATGATTTGTGTGCGACTTACTCCTGAATATTTTACTACAGTCGTCCTTATTATACCTAGCTGGTTCTTTTGTTCTATGAATTTGAACATGTTAATACATAGATGTCAAGAACAAACTTGTTGACGTCAAATTGATGCCTGATCTTAATTGATACGGCAATTAATTAATGTAATGAATTTACAATTGAGATCGTATTACTTAGGAGACTGGGATGATTTTTAAACACAATTGATATTGTTTTTGTTTGTTTTGGATCTTAACTCGTCGAGTACCGGTTTTATAGACACAATTAAAGAACAATAGGTCGCGGTCACCGGTGACCGCTTGGTGTTTGACAGTTTAATACTCACTTGATAAGCACCTGATGTTGTCGAAAACAGTTCCTGAAGGTGTTTTTTAACGCCGCATCTATATCTTGTTTAGGAACAAAAGACTTGACGATTCTCTCATTATTTTCATCTTCACTTAACTTCGAAGATTCCCCTTCACGAATATTGTTAGGATCTGCATTTACTCCTTCTCGCAGTGATGCCATTGTTCGGTCATACGCAGTTGTTATTGCCTCGTGAAGAATTTCAAACTGCGAGCCCATATGCAGGATAACGGATGCAATAAACGTGTCAATTGTCATCACAATGTGACCAGTCCACAGTAAGCCGACAGTCTCCAACACAAACGTAGGAATGTACGATGCATCTTTCTGATAATCCCAAGGAATATAAATCGGCTGTGGCAAAGTCCTAACTGGCCGTACATCAGAATCATTCAAAGTAGCAACTAATGACTTCCATTTAAGATCTTGTATAGTCCCGTACACGTTGCCATTCCCAATAGTCACCCAGCCAAAGAAAATAAACGCTGCAGTGATTATTTTTGACATCCTCACCGTCTTTCGGTTTTTGTCATCGTTCTGATAATAGTCGTAAATTCCAATCTCTAAGGTGTGAACTATTTCTTGGATGTCGGCGTTTTTGAAGAAGAATATGTACAGTTTTATGAGAGTGAGGTTGTGGGTGATGACGAAGGAGAGACTGAACATGAACCGGTCCATTTCTTTTTCTCCAACAAACGGGTCTATAGTTTCCAGGCCAACGAAACCGGCTACCCAGACCAGTTGAGTAGCAATGGAGTAGTAGAGATACCATCCAGGAAAGTTAGAGGTATTTCCTTCTTCAGGGTGATGCCACCATCCCAGACCTAGGAATCGCAGGATACGGTAATGGAAACCGAAATAATGTTTAGGACGTGTTTCAGTCATGGTGACTCTGTGTGTAATTGATATTCTGTGCTCCGTGACTTGGGCGGTCCGTGATCGACATTATAAATACCACTTTGAACTCGTCCTATACAGGCTGATACAAAATCTATTTCGTAGTACTTAAATTTTATACCGATTATGCATGTACTACTTAGGTATATCTGGCTGAAATTCTTATTTGTTAAAGGTACATTTTAATTTCTTTGCTGTAAAAATGACACTGTATAGTACATATGGACAATGGACATGTTACGCTACAAAATGTAGGTAGGTACTGGATATTATAAAAACGATGGAATTGTAAACAATGATTGAAAGTAGGTGATATAGATTTGCGATAAAAGTACCACGCGACATTTAGGAGTCCGCACTGCAATTACAATATAAGAAAAACAATAGTAGGGACTTTAAAATGACGTAGAAATGTTATGTTGAAATTAGTCTTCAAATGATTGAAGAATAATTTTATCATGTTTTTTTTTTTATTTATTTATTCTCATAAATATATACATTATTATTAAATATACAAAAATCGCCAAACTGTTATCAGTTTGTTGGCGATAATGGCGCTCTTAAATATTATTTATTATGCACATATTATATATATATATATCTTTTTTAAAGCTATTTCTTTATATAATATTATAAGTATTTTACATTAAATCTATTATATGTATTACCAATTATTATTGACTGACAAATATATCATTAATTTTATTAATACTAATATCTTAATAAAACTATTTCTATTACATATGAGTATCTTATATTTTTAGGTAGTAGTTTTTAAGTCTTTTTTTAAGTAAAGCATCACTTATGTTATCTTTGGACGCGTTTCTTATAATATCTAGATTGTTAAATATTGTTGGAGTTAAATATCGCCTAGTCCTTTTACCATAATAATTTTTCACCTGAGGTATTATGTATATGTATGTTTTAAAGTTCAACTTTAAACTTAATTCTAAATTGATAAAGTCGTAAATTAATTATGGAATTTTGTAAAGGTAGTACGTAGTGCTGGTGAAATCTAAATATTATACCTTGAATGAACTGAGACGGAACCATATTGAGTTAATGAGAAATTTCCCTCTAGAGGAGGGTTTAGTATTTACGATCAGATATTATTTGTGTACCCACAAATAGATATTACATTAAACTAGCTATTAGTGAATGTTTTAGTTTGGAGCATTATTTTAATGGGATTTTAGAAATGTCATGTGATTTGTGAAAATGGTGAAAAAGCCACACAGGTAAATGAGACACATTTAAAATTAGCAATGGATTTAAGAAGGCGTGTACTTATTATGTTTATCTCAAAAATTAACTTTATCCAAAAAAAAACTTTTGCTCCGAAAAAAAATACCTCCATGTTTTTATCACGAAACATTCGCGAATATAACAGAAATAAGAATTCATTTATTCATATTTTCATTAATACGTAAAAACGAATTTTTTAAGGCTCTGCTTCAGGCTGTAGGTTGTTAGTGGCCTGAAAAAGTGGCCGTGCATGTAATTACCTATTTAGGGCAACCCTGTAAATTTACAAGATGAGGTTGTTAAAAAATAATTTCGTACTTTTAGTCTACATTTATTAATTTAGTGACGCGCGTAAACTGGGTTTGGATTTCCATATTTAGATACACATTATTTCAACAAAATGTTACTTCGATGATTGAGTTCCTTATTATGTGCGTTTGTAATATCACTATTGACAATTGTCACAATATCTACCCTTTTTTGTGGGTATATTAAGCGCCGATTAGGGACCTACAACAACCTAGATTTGACAAAGATGAGGCAACAGTTTTCACTGGAAATCTGAACTTTGTGACTACGATTTTCAACCCACTTCTCAAGAGTGGAGATTATAGAGAGCAAATCCTCTTATATATATGCAGTTACGGTCTATCCGGGCTGTTGATGTTGACATTATTAATTTATATGACACCTTAAATTTTTTTTTTAAAAACGTTACCCCGCACTTGGGTTTTCTCCTGTATCGTGGGTGCGTTTACAAACATACAATATCACATATACATGACACCCAGACCCGGAACAACAATCTGTGGATCACACAAAGGGTTGTTCCGTGCAGGAATCGAACCCGCGACACGTTGCGCGGCTGCCAGTTGCCCAGCCAACGCGCCAACCGTGCAGTCAAAAATTGTCAAAAATTTAAGTCGGTTTTTATCTCATCTAGTTTTCACAAGACACTTATCTCAATACTTAAATCAGCACAAAATACAATACTATGAGTCTATAAACTCACTACCTCTATAATCTAGAATATTTCAGGCGCTTTATGTTATATGCCATATATTGAAGAGCGCATAAAACCGTCGATACCATGTTCTCATATCAAGATTTATGTGCGAATACTAGTAACCTAACTTACTAGAAAAATGGTTTCAGATTTAACATTTCATATAGTGTAAATGAAATATTTGTATACTTTGATAGTCTGACTGCCTCGTTGGCCGAGTGGTCGCAATTGCGACTGCCGGGTAAGGGGTCTCGGGTTCAATTCCCGGGTCGGGCAAAGTATTACTTGGTTTTTAAAAAAAGTTCTCAGTAGTAGCACGGAGTCTGGAATTGTGCCCGATATATGGCAACAGGCTCACCCCCTATTACATGGGACTAATAACATAAATAGTGAAAAGTGGGTGTTACATTGTACAGTGGTATAATGTGCACCTCTGCCTACCCCTTCGAGGATAAAAGGCGTGATGTATGTTATGTTATGTTTGATAGTCTGATTATTATCTATTTGGAGAAACGATCATGCAAGTCTAGTCTTTCGTCAAGTCAATGTGGGGGAATATAGTCATATAGTCAATTATCGTCATCATCGATTTCATATAATTATGTAAGTACATTTCTATTATTCGGAGTCGCCGAGAACCTAATGGGGTACCGGGGCTCCGGCTCGACGTGCAGGAGAAGGAACGGGGTGGTTTTTAGTCAGTAAGAGTCTGACACTCCCTACCGCCTCACCCAGGCGGGAGCAGTCATTCGATGATTTTCCCCCCTTAAAAAAGTACATTTCTATTGCGTTCGATTAGCATTTAAAAATATTTTTTATCTAGAGGGGCTCGAAATCCTCTCTTGGTCATCGCACTTACAACTTAATCATTAAGAAGGTAAGTGCAAAATAAGCAAGAGTTAAATAAATAAAAGTATTCAAACATTTAAGATGAAAACATTGCAATTTCACCGTCTGATGAATGAAATAAAAATGCAATAAATCTGAATTGTATTGTTGTTATGTAATTATACTTTCAAATATCGTGGCATATGCCTTGAAATTTTGTACTTTAATATTTCTTCATGAGAAAGTAGGAACCATTTCTTATCTTTTAGTGTCTAGTAATGTTGTTGACCTAGGATTTCGGTTCCTCAGTGCTAACATAAACGTTGTATACTATATTTTTATATTAAGTATAGCAGTAGAATAGATTCTGAATTTCAGCTTGTGTTTGAAGGTTCTATGACAATTGTCACTATTACAATTATAGAGATAAATACAATAGGGTAGTTTCATAAATTTTATTTTAATGTCCGTCTGGTACATTAATTTAAAACTTTAGACACGTATTTTTCTTTTCTCACAAAATTAAATACTTTCCACGATATATTAATTTGAAATATCGTGTGACGTCACAGCGTGCCACATTTTGTAGCACGTTATGACGTAACAACCTCCCACTCCTAAACTTAGTGCCATGTTATTTAAGTATTGCAACTTAATACGAGAAAATAAAAAAAACGTGTCTAATATTTTATATAATTAGATTTTAAATTTAGATACTCTGGACACTACCCAATTATAGAGTGTTCAGATATGAAGCGTATTTTTTGAGCTTTTTGATTTCTATTACTAGTGAGTTTTTAGGTTGGCAATCGCGATTCAAAGCCACAAGCTACACAAACAGAACTCTCGAAGGTAATTTTATACCCTATAGTCTTAAAAAACAAAATGTTACGAAGAATAATATTAATTTCTTATTTTATAAAACTCCAGTTAAGTTTTATATTACGTGAAGATGTTAATATTCGTGCTTGTGTCCTCTTGAGACCATCACGGTGGCGGCCGAGACGAGATACCACTTAGCCTCGCAGTTTTACGTAGCTTGAACCAAATGTAGGCACTTTTAGCCAAGTAGCCTAGTATTTGTTTTTCACAATTGTATGTATATTGCATTGAATCTAGTCTAGTACAGTGAAGCAACGCTTGCGTTGTGTTTCGTCGTGTGAGTAAGGTTACCGGAGGCCCAATTACCTTCCCCTTCCCCAATCTCCCAAATCCCTGAATCCCCAACGATCCTCAAACTCCTAATCCCCAAAAAGCCGGTGACGCACTTGTAATGCCTCTGGTGTTCCAGGTGTCCATGGGCGACGCCGATTGCTTACTATCAGGTGATCCGTCTGCTCGTTTACCGGCTTATGCCATATAAAAAAGTACAGTGTCAGATCATACGCTCATCTCTTACTACATCGGATTTAAAAGATGACAGGAAAACTGGTTGTACTATTTTACACCTTTATCATCTCCGTTCATATTCTTTTGAGCTGATACGACCTTCAAGAAAAGAGCGTTTTCCAAAAACTCGCAACGTATGTGACTTCTCTGGTATTCCGGGTGTTCACTGGCGGCACTGATCGCTTATCATCAGGTGATCCGTCTGCTCGTTTGCCTCCTATTCCATAAAAAAATAATACATATATTTTTATTGGTTTATTTCGATGTAAATACCAAAAGCCTACAATTCATATTAATAGGTCAGAACAATAACCATTATATGTAACCACATCTCCCACCGCTGTGTCCGCGGATGACCGAGCACGTCCAATAGTGCCCACCATGTAATTGTCGCTTGTGATTAGCCTATGAATATTGATGTGTTTTGGTAAGTGTGTATGTATGTATGTAGTGACCAATTTTTTGTTGGGGTATCCTAAAAAGGGCGCCTAGCGGGTTCGATTCCCGGGTCGGGCAAAGA